TTTTTTCTTTTCTCTAAGAATGTTTAATCTTTTTTTTTTTGAAATACGTCGCGCAAGTTTATTATCGATAGAAGAAAAGAGCAAAGCGAGCGATTCAAGTAAGTAAAGAGCAGGTTTCTATCGATTAATTCAAGAAATGTAAAGTTTGAACGATAGCGTAGCAATAAAAGTAAAGGACGAAGGAACTTTCCTTTTATTACCGAAGCGCCAATAGAAAACCGGAAGAACACGCGATCCCGATGCAGGAAGGAGTCGTTGCTACGTACACAGTCATAATTCACGCATGGCGGAATCGTCGTGATTTTTTTCACTTTCACAACACCGACCGTTCGCTTCTCTAGTAATACGAGGCGCGTGTACACTTTCGTATTTCGTCGCGGTTATGTATCGTTGTAATTTGTAGTTCCCGTATCGCATAACTTTTTACATAACCGTGAAAGAACAATGATTGACATCGCTCTTAATATAACGGCGTAATAAAGTTATTTAAGACGGCCTTATTAGTCGATCATTTTTCTCGGATGGGAAGATGGCCGCTGTTTACGTCACACTCTCTTAATCTACCTTATATTCCTAGCCTTGTAACGATTTTCAACCCGTTGCATTTGTTTTTGCAATAATTTAACTTCTGTGTAGTTTATTTTGTAATTAGTGACTCGTATGTATGCGTCTACAGTCTGAATAAATACGAACTAGAAATTTAAAAGAGATATCGAAATTAAAATGTGAGATTTAAAGATTAAAGCAAGATGACATAATTGAAACGCAAATAAAATATAAAAAAACGCGGGGGGAATCGATAATGAATGTATTAACTCGTAAGATTGATTAAATATAATCGAGAGAAACTGTTGAACTTTTTTATCTGACGATGATCAGCTAAAATAAAATAATTAATTTGTTTCTCAAGTGTACTGAATAATTATTAATTTAAATAAAAATTATAATGTTATTAAAAGACATAGGAAGTGTTAATAACATTTGAAATACTTTCGTTCTAAACGTGAAAATTGTAAATAGGACTAAAGTTACACACAATGCTGTCATTTGTATTGAGATTGCTCAAAGTAGAATAGGATTGTTATAATCAGCCCCAAGGTATAATATTCATGAAATGAGATATAGGTTTCATATAAAAAGTCAGAACAGTTTGACTAATTTTACATTTTTTCTCAAATATATTTGGAATTCAAAATGGCTTCTATAAAATATTTTGAAATCTCATAAAATCTCAAAGTGCAATTAAGATTGTTGAATGTAAAATAAGATAGCTGTAATCAAAGGTAAGTAAAATGTAATCTGATTACACATGCAACCATACGATTACAATTAATCACTGTAATTTTACTATAATTACGCGGTAATTACACGATAATTAGAAAGTTATTACGCGCTTTAAAGATTTACGATTATGATTAAACCACAATAATAGATAGTAATTACAGTAATGGGTGTAATGAAATTGCGCTCTGCTCAATTCTACTTGTAACGAGATCGCTATCTATTTTTGAAACGAAAATCGTCAAAATGAGAATAGCTTACACGTAAAAAGTTGGAACAGTTTCTACGACTAAATAAAACATGACTAACCTTCCATTTTATAGTTTTACGTGACTGTTTTTTTGGAATATACCAGAAGCATAAAAAGAAATCTCAAGAATATTCTGAGAAAAATTATTCTGGACGTATCAATTATATTGAAACGATTATTATAATATCGAAAATAGTTTTCACATAAAATATGCTAAAATAACAGATCACTAAAATAGTCTAAACATTTTAGTTCTAGCCATTGAAATTATAAACAAAGCAAAACTTTGTTCTAACGCGTAAATTATATGGAGATTACTGATAGTAGTATAAGAACGTTTTAGTCAGCCCTCGACGTATAAAGTTATTTCCTAAGACTCTGCATTTTTTTCATAAAGTAAAATATATTCAAGAAAACATGTCCACGTAAAATATTCATTATTCACATACTGGCCATCGTTAATATAATATTTTTATCTCTTTCATAGAAATCAATTTATTTCCAAGAACTTAATTTGAAATATATAAAAGTCGTTGAAGTTGTTAACTTTTAATAAATGATGTTGCTACAACAGCTCAGTCAAATTGAGTAGTTTTGTATTACGAATAATCAGAAATGATTTCTCCAATAAAAGGTTAGAATAATTTCTACGAGCATACGGAAATTAATCTTTGACCTTTTCCTGGGCCGTTCGAGAATCTCAAAAATGGCGCTCCGGTGCCATGGAAAAGGACGCCGTTAAATTCAAACGAGTCTACTCGCTGTTTCTAGATACGCGCACGTGAATCGAAGTAAGAAGGTTCGTTCGTGCAGTAGCGGAGAAAGTAATGGCTTTCTTGAACGCGTATCCGAGATTCTTAATTGCAATCGTGAAACGATTAAGATTCGTTCATGTTCGAAAGTACTCCCGGAAGCAATACCCAGGATACAAAGTCGAATATTCGCCCGCTATTTTTCCTGATGATTCTGAATAATTTTCCGGTATCGTGCAATTATAAATATCAAAAGTTGAAGGTTTCCTACCCTTGTCTCCGGCGATATTATATTTTTCTCGTTTTCCCTCACCCTTGTCTCTCCCTCTCTGTCATCGCGTAACTTTTTCTGTTTCTTTCGTCGCTTTTCTTTCTTTACTTCGTTCCGTCGCGTTGGTCAGCAGCGCGAAAAGGGAGAGCAATTTTGTAAAAGTGAAACTCGCGCGAGGACGAGATTTCCGGCAGATTCGACGCCGTCGTGAAAGCGTCGGAACGTAAACGCGTTCGCACGGAATTTTTAGGCGCGACTGGCTTTTCCTATTACGTGTCGCGGAAAATCAGTAATAAGACGATAATTCCACGCTTCGACGTAGCAAAATAATAGTACCAACAGAAGAATTTTACTAGCTCTCATGAATCGTTTTTGCAGAGAATTCTTTTATTACATATTAAATGGTGTCATGGGGTATTTTCTACTTAAATTCTCTTACAGATGTTAATCGGAGGTTTCAAAGTGTCAATCGTCTTTTATTATTTCAGATCAAATGGATGTTTTCTGTACTTTTAGCACTTTTTGTGAAACTGTAGAAACCACAAAATTTCTTTCTAAGAGCTTCCGTATTTATTTCTGTAATACGATTATCGTCGTAACCTATTTGCTTTCAAATTATACTGCAATATTCTAAGAATATTATGATCTATTTAATTTCAAAGATATCTCTAATTCACTAACGCTAGAATTTATTTGCTTATTTACCGATTTTATTCGTCATATTAAAAAACAAAAGCAGACTATAAGCATCAGAAATATTGTGTTCTACGATACAACCTAATCCTATTATTTATTACAAATTTCAATTTTGTTCAACGATTATAAGATTTCTATTAGTTTCTCGACATTTCTATCTGAAAAAGAATTTTACCATTTTTGTATTCGATAAAATGGTCCTGTTGAAGGGGTTGAAAAAGTTCCATATTTACCCTTAACATTACTCACCCTTAAGATTATATTGGACCATACGAATTATCATTTTATTATTGATTCACCAGTTCGAGAAGACGGGAGACTTCGTTTCAGGATTGATCAGTATTTATTAAAAATCTTTGATACAAAAGGAGACTCTACTTCGCTCGGATATCTTAACTTAAATTAGGTACAAGTGTTCTCGTGCCGCAGCCAGATCGTAATCCCGCGGCGGCGCTTATTATACATCGGCTAACTTACGCGCGCGAAGCTCGCTCAAACGCCGATAATAGTTTTCTTTGGAACAGCAAGATAGACGCGACGCGCACAGTTTTAAAATAAAAGCGTAACTATCGTACAAAAGCATACTTTCTGCGAGTAATATGTTAAGCTCTTTCAAAATATTTCCATAATTCGCGAACGATATTATCCCTCGTAAACGTTAGAACCCATGAACGAAATTCAATTTCGCTACCGAACAAACACCTTGCCAACGGAATTCGGTGATAGGATTGCAGGAAAGTGAAATCTTAGAAGCGAGCAATTTTCAATTTTCGACTCCAACTGTCTCTTAAAGCCCAAATTATTCGTAACTGTCGCGCATACTTGTTACAGGAACGAAGAAAGATCGGTCCAGAAAGGAGTTGCAAGTGGTATTGGGTCAGTATGAGTCAGCCTTCGTGTACTCAACACTGTCCACATTCTTTTAACACCGATTTTTCTTTGTCCCTTCAGTACAGTTACGTTCCTCGAGTTACGTAGGAGGACATATACTCGACGATAACGACGACCCTCTTCCCTCAAGTTCTAGGTTTAAGGTGCTCCTGGCATTTTCAGCGAAACAATGATACATATACCGGGGAATTTCAAGATATAGTTCCTGGATGGAAATCAGATTCGGTGATCAGAATTTTTGAAGTAGTTGTTTCACGATTACTGCGATGTAATCGATTTATCTCACCTTCGTGAACATGTCTCGGGTGCGATGCTCGTAGCTTTGTATACTTTAATCGAAGGTGTTTCCCCCGAGTGCAGGCACGATTCCCACCAGCACTTAAGGAACGCTCAGGCTCGAAAAAATATTGCAAAATTCTGTTGGACGCTGGCGTTGGCGCCGGAGTGGTCGTTCCGCGCTCGCCGCGCCTAAAAATCGAGCGTTCCTCGACCATCCAAGTGGGAATCCCATCGCGTCCGTACCACTCAAACGTCCACAGAGACGACGAGACTTTCATAATAATAAATAGCGTTTGGTTTTGTAAAATCTTTCAAATTCTCCTGGTAAAAACCTTAACGGTCAACGTGTTAAGCAGCCCATACACACAGAATTTACCGAAGCCTCGACCGCGTCGTTCGATCGATCCTCTCTTCGGTCCTTTTCGCGAGGATCGATCGAACCCACGAACAACGTTCCAGCAAACCCGCGATTATGTATGAGACGTTTAACAGTTCTTCGAGAACAGACATCGCCAGGGATCCAGCAAGCGCGCGTATGAGGCTTCAACGACGAAGGGACCGATCGCTGGTGTCGGGGGAATCAACGGTGATGCGAGAGGTAACCACCGCCGTCCCCGAGGCTAGAGAACCCTTCGTAGCCGCCCCCGCCGCCGCCTCCGTGCTCTTCGTGGATGTGCACGGGCACTGGGACCTTGACAGGAACAGGGACCTCCTTCTCGACCGGGTAGGGCACCTCCTTCTCGACGATGTAGGGCTTGTCTACGGGCACCTTGACTGGATAAGGCACGGGTTTATGGATCGTTACAGGCACAGGTTTGTGAACGGCGTAAGGCTGAGGAATTGGAACCTTGACGTGGACGGGGTACGGTTTCTCGACAGGGATGGGGTACGGTTTGTCAACGGGAACCTTAACTTCGTAGGGTACTGGCTTGTCGATTGGCACGGGGTACGGTTTCTCGACGGTGACCGGGTACGGTTTAGGCACGCTGACCGGGTAAGGCTTGTCGACGGGGACCTTGACCTCGTAGGGCACGGGCTTCTCGACCGGGTAGGGTTGAGGCACCGGGATCTTCACCTTCACCGGGAAAGGCACGTGTTTTTCGACGGTGTACGGCTGAGGCACGCCCACCTTCACTGGCACCGGGACATGCTTCTCGACGGTGTACGGCTGGGGCACCAACACCTTCACCTCGTACGGCTTGTCCACGGGAACCTTGACTTCGTAAGGCACCTTCCTCTCGACAGTGTACGGCTGGGGCACGTGCACCGGCACCTTCACGAACACCTTCACCGGGTAGGGGACGTGTTTCTCGACGGTGTACGGCTGTGGCACGCCGACCTTCACCTCGTACGGTACGTGCTTCTCCACCAAGTAGGGCACGTGTTTCGTGACCTCGTACGGAACCGGCACCTTCTTCACCAACGTAACTGTTTTCACGTGTTCCTGGTGATCGTAGCTCGAGCCACCGCCGCCGCCCAGGTCGCCGCCGCCACCCAAGTCGCCGCCGCCGCCCAGGTCGCCGTAGCTACCGTGCAGACCCCGTTTCTCGGTCTTCTTCTCCGTGGACTCGGCCACCGAGTCCTTCTCCGCTTCCGATTTCTTCGGCTCCTCCGCGCAGCTCGCTAGCGCGACCAGTGCCACCAGGATGGCGATCTGACGGAGAAAGTCGCGTTATTAATATCGTTTAGAACTATCGCGACACTAGGTCTACTCCTCGAGACATACGAAGTATTCGGTTCTCGTTCGTCTTATTGAAAATCTATTAACGCGACTTTCGATTCACTTGGACTCTTTCGCTGTTTTATTTTTATTTGTATTTTTATTTGATTTAGTGGGTCGTTGTTTTACGAGATTAATTCATAGTTCTCAATTTATTTTTTTAATAGATCTCTATATAAATATGTTATTTGGATACCGTGTGGTCACTCATATAAAAAGTATGTGGCGTTACGCAATTCAGCAAATGACCAAGTTGTTGGAGAGTGAATATAATAAATATGATAGCAACAGCAATTTTTTAGTGGCTTCTTAGAAATTTTTGTTGAATTTTCAATCAGTTTAAATCCATATTTTTAGCTCTACAAAAGTATTAATTCTTTGTACTCCGATAATATTAATATGAACTAGTAAAATATCAATTGCAATTTTGTGATGTGACTTCTAAAAATAAAAAAAATATTCTATTCTCCGCGAAAATGTATAAATACCTATAATTTCAATTTTATTCATATATTTCCCAAATTCAATTTGTGTTATCATAAATGAAATTTGAATTGAATGTTTGTTGCTATGGCGGTACCAAAGGAGTGCAAAGGGTTAATAATTAAGTATAGAAGTTACGGTGAATCCACTGGAGGCCTTAAAAAATACTGTGTCTCAAGTTCTGAGTGGCACCAAATTTGGAATATATTAGAACTTTCGAAATTCGACGTTTTTTACAATCTTTTTAATCCACTAAACGATACATAAAGAGTCGAATATTACACTCCAAAGTGCAATTGTCGTTTTTGATATTCTTACACGAACAAAATTGAGAATACTCTTGAAACATAGAACCAAAAGTACGGATTCAAATTGAACAAGAATAGAACACCCTTCTCCAGCAAAAATTTCTAAACAATTAAAAAATTCCAGTCCAGAATTTCTGGATTATTCGATTGAATTTGACTCATCCCTGCTCCATAGCCAAGTTCCCTCGAACACTGTGCACAAGTCCACTTAAAATCGCAAGTGAATCGAAAGATCTCGGTTGGAAAAATGCACACCAATCGTGACCGGACGTATTTCGGGAAAGTTTCGCCTTTTATTTTCGCACTAACTGTGTATCGCTTACCTTAATATTCATCGTTGAGTTCGCGTATGTTTTGTGGTGGCGTATAACCACTAACTGAACCGCTTCGTTTTCTAGAGTGAGCCTTATATACTCCGCGGCATAATGGCTCTGTTACTTTCGCTGCACCTCATCGTCCGTATTACACTTGTGCGTCTCGTTTTGCATTTGCAAAAACCGTGCTCGCGCGAGTACCGGGATAAACGTACGCCGGGAAATCGTGCTCTCTGCCGCGTCGCCTCTAATCTACCGCGTACGATCGCGATCCCGTGGAAATTGTTCCATCGGATGCATTTAAGATAACGCCTCGGCACGAGTCGATGCCCCGTCCGGGATATTGTTTCGCTATCAACCACCAATAACCCCCCCTCCCCATATTGAAATTTATCTCAACTTTATTGAATTGTAACATAAATAAATTTGGATATATTCCGTAACTTTTTTCTTCGTTTTATTATCAAACTATAGAATTACATTCGATCGATTATATAATCCCCCATTATCGAAGATTCTTTTATTAGATACTAAATGGCTTTATTAAATATTAAATGGGGTATTTTCTATTCAAATGTCTGCTTGAACTCTCTTACAGATGTTAATTAGAGGTTTCAAAGTGTCAATCGTCTTTTATTATTTTAGATCAAACGAATGTTTTGTGTACTTTTAGCACCAATATCGTTGCCATTTTTGTGAAACTGTAGGAACCACAAAATGGTAAATAGATCCTAACTCGATTGCACCATCATTAGTCGAATGAAAATAAATTCCCATCACCGCAATGGAATCTTTTATTTTATTACAAACAATATTTAATTATCTCTTTTATTTTCGTGATAAATAAGAATAATTATAACTCTAACGAAAAGTTATATAAATAGGAAACGCAATCGATCTTTTGACGCAACAGAATCGAACGAATGGAGATCATGTTCGCTCCAAATTCTCAACACGGTAGAGATACCTCGAGATAGGATGCTAATGTTATTCATGCATTTACAAAACAAACAACAAATTTAATTGCAGTCCGTGAACGCGTTGGTTTATGTTTAATCGTGTTTTCGTGGATAATTGCATGTTTGTATAGATCTTAAAGGAAACGTTCGTTGCTTCAAAAATTTAATTGTTCGTTGATTAAATGCTTCATTGCTAATCTCACCGTCGAATCTGTTTTAATTTCATCCGGTTTGGTATTAACGTCGTAATAGTGAGGTGTTAATTTAGTAAACGTTTTTCACTAACGCTTAGTTTACTGTCATGCATCAAACTTAATGACAGTGTTCATAAGATAAAATATTACTGATAAGTTCTAATGAATTGCGGCTCTATATTCTGATAAACTTTTCACACTTCTTTCTATATGAATTTCACGCTGTAAAATTTTTAATTCGAACGCTGAATTCTTAATTATTGAAAAATTCTTCTAGCGGACGTCACACATGTACGCAATTTAAGAAGCTCAGGCAAATTTACCATTCGCTACTTAAAACGATGCTCAATGAATGTTACAATGAGTAATTCATCTCTGAAGGGGTTAAATCGTTCAAAGGATCCAAGAGAAAAAGTGAGGATGTCAAATTTCAATATTTCTCAATATAATGTCACAACTAATTTGATTTAATATCAATGATATTTAACTTCAATTTTGCCTCCCACGCAATTTCCTTATTCTTGATTTCCAGTCTTATTTCAACAAATTTATACTATAAATCACGAGAATATAGTGTCCAAAACCCCCTTTTTGCATCGTTTCTCTTCGCCATTTTTCGCTTCTCGTTATACAATTTTTCATGCACGCAAAATTTAAAAAATATCGATTCGCAACGTGGCATGACCATTGGCGAAAAGGACACACGGGAGCATAAGAAAAAAATATTACAGTCAAAATTCGTTAAAAACGATATTCCCGTTTTCGATCTCGTGGACCTTTCGTATCGATCAATTTACAGGGTTGCACCGCGTGCGAAACGTGACTCGCGAGGGACGATCGGCGATATTTATTGAAAATTGCGCGAATAAGGAGGCAAAGGCCCGGCGTAACAAGCATTCTCGGTGATACGACCACAGCGGGATGCCTGTGCAGCGATTAATCGTTAAAAAATCGTCGGACTATCTGCCGGGAGGATCGGAATGGCGTTGGCGCATGCGACCGTATTAACATACGGCATTAGGTATTCCACATGCGAGCCGCACAACGGCGAACTTTACTTGGATTTCTGCGGCAATTACACGCGCCTAATGGCCGTCCTTCGCGGATATCGATACGGTTTGCGCGAAACCGCGACCGGGCGTCGAATTAACGCTATCGGGAGATAAGGTTCCACGATGGTTATACGGATTAACGAGCGACTACACGCATGCCAGCGAAAACGCGAGCCTGCTCGATATTGGTAGCGAAATTTCTCGCCGCGTGGAAAATCGAGGGGAAACTTCGAATCGAATTAAAGGGCTTAATTAAAAGTAACTTGGGTGCTACTTCCCCAATCGTTTTGGGGGTAACGTGGCGACGATATTTCATCCTAATCGCTGACTGAACGAGAGACCATAATTTAATTAACCTGATAAGCATTGGAAAAATGTGTTCGAACAACTCCAAATCTTCTGTCGTCGACTTAAACTTCGATTACGATGAAAAGTCGATTATATTATTAATCGTGTTGATTCATTTTTGCCTCCAGTTTAATTTTGTAAATTTTATCAAGACAGAACAAGAAATAATAATTAATTAACGCGATAGCGGACAAAAAAATGTGTTCAAACAATTCTAAATCTTCTGCTGTCGATTTACACTTCGATTACAATGAAAAGTCGATTATATTATTAATCGTGTTGATTCATTTTTGTCTCCAATTTAATTTTATAAATTTTATCAAGACAGAACAAGAAATAATAATTAATTAACGCGATAGCGGACAAAAAAATGTGTTCGAACAATTCTAAATCTTCTGCTGTCGACTTAAACTTCGATTACGATGAAAAGTCGATTATATTATTAATCGTGTTGATTCATTTTTGTTTCCAGTTTAACTTTGTAAATTTTATCAAGACAGAACAAGAAATAATAATTAATTAACGCGATAGTAGACAAAAAAATGCGTTCGAACAACTCCAAATTTTCTGTCATCGATTTAAACTTCGATTACGATGAAAAGTCGATTGTATTATTAATCGTGTTGATTCATTTTTGCTTCCAGTTTAATGTTGTAAATTTTATCAAGTGTCTTTTCAACCCCTACCACCAAACTACCTTCAAACTAATTTTGAAGGTCTGTTATTTATATGGGAACAGCGAGATCTAGAAAAGTTGATTACTTTTCTAAATTAATATTTTCAGACTTCGTACCAAACCATCTGAAGTTGTATCTTCAGAATTTCAAAGAATTCAAACCGAGATTCCCGTCAAGATTTTTATCGACGGTTTATAAAACGAAGATAATGGTGTTGTTTATAGACACACGTGCACAGTTTGCGTGTTAATTTACGCGGCCCAGTGTAACGAGAAAGTTTTTCTTCTTCTGTTGTCAGTTGTAAACGATTCTCCTCGTTCGATTTGCCGGCGGGTTTTCGAGGCTTAAATACGACTTTGTTTTTTGTTTTTAATTTCCAATCATGCAATGATACTGTGGCGGCCAAGGCGCCACATACGCCTTAGCCGTTCGAAGCCGCTACAATGTATGGTTGCACACGAGACGATGGTTGCACACGAGACGATGGTTGCACACGAGACGACCAGAGCCGCGTGAGCCGAAAAGCCGTTGTCGTCGTCTCTGACCGTCTTTTGTTTTTGAAGGCCTCTTGGTACGGTGGCGATGATCGTACCAGAGAGTCGAGCGTAACCCGCACCACGAGTCACGTCGTTGTACGACAGCAACAATAAAATTGTGCGGAACGGAACAGGGCGGAGTCATTACCTTCCCGATCCCACATTGGTGACCCCGACGTGATCTCGCCGCGCAAGTAAAGTTTTTTTAAGAAAATTTGGACATTTTTCGTATACGGACAATATTAGTTAGTGTAGAGAAATAAGTGTATAGTGTTAAGAACATAAGGAAAGGACACGGTCTGACAAATAGTAGGCGCGGTGTGTGTGTGCGGTGAAATTAATCTTTTGTGACCAAGACTGGTAAAATGACTGACCCTACCGTTAACGCGGGACATCCGGGAATGTGCCGTTGGCAGTTGATCGCGTCGCTGTACGAATACCCGAGTTTTGTCCGGGAGACCCGGAGATGTGGTTTTCGATGGTAGAGAGAAGTTTTGAGGTATCCAATGTAACGTCGGAGACCACGAAATTCGGGTACATTCTCGGCGCGTTAAGTGCGCGACACGCCGCGGAAGTAAGAGACATTATCATGAATCCCCCGGCCACGGATCCGTACACGACGCTCAAAAATGAGTTCATTCGCCGGCTTAGTGCGTCGCAGGAACAGAAAACGCGGCGGTTATTGGAACACGAGGAAATCGGGGACAGAAAACCGTCTCAATTTCTTCGTCACCTGCGCGGATTGGCCGGTACGGCTTTTTCGGACGGTGTATTGCGGACGCTTTGGATGGGCCGACTACCTGCTAATATGCAGGTGATTTTAGCCACGCAGCGGGACACCCCGCTGGATAAGGTGGCAGAGTTGGCAGACGCTGTTGCGGATACGATGACACCGCGGGTACACGTCACGGAGGCCGCGATTACGGGCGTATCTACATCCTGCCAAATACCCCCGCCGGGCCCGAGCATCGAGGCCATGTTAAACATTAAGATGTCACAATTGGCTCTTTCCTTGAGGCAGGAAATTTCTGCCATCCGTGAATCCTTGGTGGACCAGGGGCAATCTTCCCGTCGCAGGTGGACCCACCGAAATCATCCAAACTCGCGCTACCGCAGACGATCTCTATCGCGATCGCGAGAGCGGCCCGCGGGAGGACAAATGGACCATCAAGGGAAATGCTGGTACCATTGGCGGTTCGGTCCGGCCGCGCAGAGGTGCGTTGCACCGTGCAATTGGAACGCCACGGATCAGGGA